TGCTGATTCTACAACACCACACTAATATATGATTGTTGTTGTTGTTAAGTGCCATCAAGTCGATTCTGACCCATAGTAACCCTATATAGGGTTTCCAAGGAGAAGCTGATGAGCTTGAACCACTGACCTTGCAGTTCAAATTACTTTGCCACCTGGCACATTAACCCATAGTACTGCACCAGGACTCCATATTCAAATTGGCCAACACTACTCCATTTTAGCTCATGAATACCTAAGACATCGATCTTTATGCTATCCGTTTCATTTTTGACAACTTCCAATTTTTCTAGATTCAAACTTTGTACATTCCATGTTGTGATTATGAATAAATTTTGGTAGCTTCCTTGTGCCCCACCAGCAAATAAAGAGCTTAAAATGTTTATTCTATCACATCATCACAGTCAACTCTACTTTGAGGACACAGTTCTTTCCCAATTGTTTTTTGATTGCCTTCCATCCTGCAGACTCATCTCTCAGCTCTATATCGGACAATACTCTGATGTTATTCTCAGTGATTCAGTATTCAATATTCTGGTGTTCCACTGCTACTAATAATGTTTTCTGTGATAAACATTCAGAAGTAGTACACCTCTCCTTCTTTATAGTCTGTTTTAGTCTGGAAGATCAGCTGAAACCTGCCAACCTGGGTGACCCTTATGGTGTCTAAAGTATCAGTGGTATAGCTTCCAGCATCACAGCAACATGCAAGCCACCAAAATAAAGCAAATTGGCAGACAAATGGTAGCAATTTAGGAGCATAGAATTTATATCAATATTGGACAAGAATATCTTTGGTAGGGCCAGAACCAACTTCATGAGATTGTAACCTATATTGTATCACAGGGTCCAGCTCCCATAAGGTTTGATTTAATGGTTTCTTTAATGTTCTGCTGCCACTATCTTGAAATTCTTATTTATTTTCTTTTGAACATGTGTTTTGTAAGGGAAGTACTATGAGAATATAGCAGTTGTTTATGAGCAGGTAAGGTACACTGAGAGGCAACATGTGCATGCAAAAATTCAACCTGTGAAGCCAGCAGATAACATGAGTGCAGAACCTTCATTTTTGAGACTGAGTGTGCAGACCCTGATGTACCATAGATCCAAGGCTGCTGGGACATCTCCTGGACTAGATTGACAGTCCAACCCATCTGTGCAATATTTATACAAACATTGCTACTCTACCCAGCAAGGACATACCTGTTCTGCTCAAGAAATAAATTTTGTCAGTAAAATATACAAAATAAAAACATTCACATGGACAATGCAATAAAGCACATTGCTGATGTAAGCTGCCATCAGATTGACCCCAGGCAAATGGTAAGTTGATAATACACAGAACTAGACCATTGTGATTCATGGCATTTTTAATCTGCTGCTTATTATAAAGAGATTTCCAAGCCTTTATTCTTAGAATTTATTTGGAAGCTTTGCTGAAACCTGTTCAGCATCATAGCTACACACAAGACAGATGGTGATGGCTGTGCATGAAGTACATTGACCGAGAACCAAAACCAGGTCTCCTGAAGAAAGAGTGGAAACAATGTTACCCTTGGTTACCACTGCCCTTACAATAAAACAAGCTTTTTTATTTTTTAAATGTTTTATTGTGAATTATATGATAGTTTACATGGGAGAACATTAGTTTTACATTCATTCTATTGTATATCATTATCATTTCATTGCCATGGTTACAATCCCCTCCATG